ATTATTCTCCTTTATCTTGTTGTGGTGCTCGAGTATTCTATAAATTCTAGATATAAGTCCCTTGTTATTTTTTTATTGTGCAGTTATATTGGTTTGCATACAACGTTCATATACATTGTGTTTCACACTATCCTTCATTCACATTATGTTTCCTACAATCATTCCCATTCATTATGCTTTATATAATTAATCACCATTGAACTATGACTACCAGATACCCTCCAGATTGCCATTTCCTTTACCCTTTCTCCCTACACCCGCCAAATTGTGCAACCCTAGGATTTCCCGCTACCCATCCTCACCCCTCTATTCCTATCCCTTCCCTTTACAGCCCCATACACATTTTACTCGTTTTCCTTCTATTTTAATAATAATGATCTTATGCAGTATTTCACATGATGGAATACTATACGGCACTTGGAAGAAATTATTTTTTAAAAAATGACTACATATCTTGGGAGAGACTGGAAAGCATTATGCTGAGTGAACTAACTCAGTCTCCTAAAGATAATACTGTCTTTATTTTAAATGGGTGAGTGTTTTAGGAGAAAAAATTCTATAGAATTACTTTCACCCACATAATCTAAAGGTTGTTCACAATATCATTGAAGAGAAAATAATATATCCTGTAACCCTTGTTTTGGATGCTCTGGTGGCAAAGTGAGTGAGGAGTTACACTCGCACCCAAAGATGAGTAGTTCAAATGCACCAGCTACACCAAGGTAGAAAGCTGAGCAAGTTTCCTCCTGTGTGATTTGCAGCCTCTGAAAACTTTCTGGAGGTTCAGTTATGATTCTGCTCCAACTCAACGGCAATGAGAGAGGGAGAGAACTCTTGTTTTAGGAGATGATGGTCACCATTGCTAAACCCCTGCTGTGTGGTATAGCATACACTCTCAGCCAAAAAAGAAAATTACATGTGAACACATGCACATACAGCACAGGGTTGTAAGCTGTCTCAGGGGCCAACAGACCCCTTCAGTGAAACCCAAGGTTAAAGCTTTCATTCTGTAGATTGAAAATGGAGCTGGACTTATTAGATATACATTTTGTACTATAATTAAGGTAGTCTGTGTCCAGAATTATTTCCATTCCTTCATATGGACTCTCCAACATTAATTTTTATCGTTTCTTCCTGACTACCCAAATTATACCAGCTCTTCTAGGTGCTCTTTTCATGTGTAATAGAACTTCTTAGTTTAAAAGAATTCTTAGGATGCTGGTAATTTTTGTTTCTCTCTGTCATTGCTGTCGAATCAGAACTGATTTATAGGTGACCCCTAGTGGGTTTTCAGAAGCTGTAAGTCACATAAGAAGAGATTATCCATCTTCTTCCTTCAGAGCAGCTGATTAACTCAAACTGACGTTGGGTTGGCAGCACAATTCCATACCCACTAAACTACCAGTGCTTCCTAGTAATCTGTGGCCAGGTGTTTATTATAACCAAATGTCATTATAATTTTAATTATATGAAAATGCAACTAAA